AGGAACATCTACGGCTTGATATCTCACACTATGACGAAAAATACACTGCTGCAATCTTTATCTCCTGAGCTGAATCCGAACCACAATGCAGAAGAAAGAAGATCTGAGGTGGGCTCAAAAAAAGAAGATGATTTTCAAGATGACAGAGATAGCTGGTTGGGATCCATCAGTGATCCGGATCCTCTTTTTGAAGACCGTATACAAAGTAACATCAGCTTGGTAGAGAAGGAGAAACGTTCACGTATAATGCAGTGTCTCTCTTTAACATCTATACCAGGAATATCAATATATCAAATATATATATCCGTTTCAAACTTCATCTCAGACAACATCTTCTACGAATTCAGCATAGCATATTTTCTTTTTTTAGTTAGATTCATAGACATACAATCGTTTACTATACAGGGTGTCCGCAAAGTTGGGGTTTTCCTTTACACGACGTGTAGATCTTGAAAACATAAGCAATTTTTCTTAGTACCATATACACCAATGTCTTAAGGGAACCGAGATAAAGGGCTCTGCAACATCAAAAATATCTGAATACCATCCTGTAGCCGCGACCCGCGATATCACCGACTGGTACAAGTGGGTCGGGGTCAGTGTGTCAGGTCAGTATGCAACCTTCAACCGACGGTTGCGGTCACGCGTGTAGATGTAAACGATCCCGTATAATCGATTGCGTTTCAAAAAACAACAAGCACTAGAGAAGTGGCTAGAGAAGTGCAAGTATCAAAAACTAAAGTGTGGCAAACGCTGCGTGAAGAGGGGCTGTATCCGTTTCACGTCCACCGTGTACAAGCCCTTCAACCTGACGATTTTCCAGCAAGAGTGCGGTTTTGTGAGTGGTTGTTGCATCAACATGACAATAATCCGGACTTTTTGAAGTGCATATTGGTGACAGACGAATATACGTTCACGCGTAATGGGGTGAATAACTTTCGCAACACTCATGTTTGGTCAGTAGAAAATCCGCACGCTGTCCGTCGGGCACATTTTCAACAAACATTTTCGGTGAATGTTTGGGCTGGCATGGTGAACGGTATGCTCATTGGACGATTTATTCTCCCAAATTTGTCATATTTGTTACCTCTGTTCGTGGTCTGCACCACCGCCGGCGTCTGCGCGGTAGTGCATCAGCTGATTTCATTTTCTGTTGGAGCGGTATGATTTCGGGCAGATACGTACTTAGCCCTTCTCGTCAACTGGAGAGTGAGTACTTTTTCCTTTATTTTTTTTTACTTGGTCGCCCTCGTTTCACTACACATTACCTTTGTTATTTCAAGGGTAGTTGTTTCTGAAAAGGAAAACCCCAACTTTGCGGACACCCTGTATATGTAAAATACCATATTTGTACGACAAATTTGCATTAAGCCTTAAAACCGTTTTATTATTATTATTACAAATAGGTTAGCAGCTCTTCAAACATGCGAGGAGCATTTCAAGCCGATTCCCATACTCATCTGGGCTGTTAAGAATATGCCAGCTGCAGTAATGAGATTTGCCTAATAACCGACTTTGTATATGAAAGTTATGTTACGCTTCCATGTTCGATATAAACTCGATAAATGAAGTTAGAGTTAGTAGATCCTCGCTTGACATATCCGTTCTTGATTTACCATTCATTAAACAGTATTCAGCCCGATTACCCGTCATGGAAATTAGATTCACCAATTTACACTGCGCGCACTTCTAAAAGGCCAATTTTCTGTTTAGGAGACTCTGCTATGGATAGCCTTAAACTAGATTATATCTTAAGAAGGGACCCTTTAGCGAAACCTATTGAAATTGCTCGAGTAGAGATGCTATCTTTTGGTATAACGAGCAGCAAGATTGTCTTCTCACGATATTCTTTCTAACCTCCGACCACAAAAAAGGGCGTCAAGTAGATTGATTCCGCACTTCACCCACAAGCGATCAGTTCATAATGGATTATTATTATAAAAAAGTGTTAGTAAATAAAATAAAAAAGTAGTTAATAGTTTATGTTTCGTTTATCCAGATAATAAAGAAATGATATCTGTTTTATACTTATTAATTAATATTATGAGGAATGCCAAACAAATTAAATCGAATAATGTCCACAAAAATATCATTATTTCTTCTGATCGCACTAAAAGACAAATCGAATATTACAAAAGTATAAAGCAAGAACTTGTCAATCGACATAATACTGGTGATAATAACTGTCGAATCAAATATATTAATGATGTTCCAAAAATTGTTCCGTTAAACTGATAGAACCCAACAGTGAACCACTCGCTACCTGCGCCTACTACCAAAATGTTAGAGGTCTTAACAGCAAGATCGATAAGTTTTTCTCAAGTGTGAGTGTGTGTGAATATAGCACTATTGCTCTTAGTGAGACGTGGTTAAAACCAGAGGTGAAATCTAGTGAATTGTTTCCAAATCATTATGATGTACATCGAAAGGATAGGAACTGCGATCAGCTTAGATTCTCTACTGGGGGCGGTGTGCTGTTAGCAATAGATCCCTTGATGAAGTCTGAAATAGTAGATACTTCTCGATTTGGAGTTTCCGGAAATAGATTTTCTTGTATGTAAGTGTTTCGTATCATTTTACAATTCTATGTAGCAGTCATTTATATAACACCTAGTATTGCGCTTGAAGACTTTGATAATTTTTTAGACATGCTGGAAAGTTGGGATATATTGCATTCAAAAAAATTCTTTATTATAGGGGACTTTAACTGTAGTCGATTTGTTGAAAATCGTTTGGATGATAATATGACTTCCTCCATGAATAGTTATTTATCTTTTTTAAATGTTTATCAATACAATAATGTACTTAATAGTCATAACAAAATGCTAGATTTTGTTATAAGTAATTTTGACTTTACTGTTGAGAAAGATTGCACTCCTTTAGTTGATGAAGACCATCATCATCCAGCCCTATCTGTAACGCTTAATAAGATCTTTCCCAAACATGAATCTGTCAATTCAGTTATGGAACATAAACAATACAATTTCAAAAAACCTGACTTCGTTGCATTGTATCAAGATTTGCTATTTATTGATTGGTCATTTTTGGAAAATATTGGTGATAGTAACCAAGCGGTTGATAGATTCTATGGTAAGATATACGAATTACTTGATATACATGTACCAGTCTATAAAAAATGTAGGCATAGATATCCTGTTTGGATTCCTGGACAAATGTCTGATGGAAATGAAATGTTAAATGATCCTAAACATATCAGTATTGCTTTCGCTAAGTTTTTTGAGAGTGTTTACTCTGTACCTGATATTACTGATGAACAACTTAGTTTTGACTTTCAAGGATGCGATCTGTTGGATATTACCTGCGTAGCGATATCTGAGCGCGAAATTCTAAAGGTTGGACGAAAATTAAAAAACAAGTTCACTTCTGGGCCAGATCAAATTCCATCTTTCTTTCTTAAAGACTGCATAGCAGTACTAGCAAGGCCACTTCAAGTATTGTTTAATTTGATCCTGAATACTTCCGTTTTTCCTGACAAGTTTAAAATCGCTAAAATATGCCCTATATTCAAAAGTCAAGCTTCCAATATCATCATTAACTACAGGGGAATATCCATTTTGAACAATTTTGCTAAGCTTCTTGACATGATTTTATATGATCTATCTACCAGTCTGCAAAAAATTGCATTTCTATTTATCAACATGGTTTCACGAAGTTTCGGTCAACTATTAGCAACTTAGCGGTTTTTAGCCAGTTTTTATGTGAAACAGTTGACAGCAGGGGTCAAGTTGATGTAATGTATGCCGACTTTTACAAAGCTTTCGACAAGATCAGTCATGAGATTCTCCTCAAGAAACTTTGTTATCTAGGTGTACAAAATAACTATGTCTTGCTATTAAAATCATATTTATCTAATAGACAACAATACGTATGTGTAAATAATGTGAGATCGGAAGTATTCACTGCCACTAGCGGTGTGCCGCAGGGATCCAATTTGGGACCTCTTCTATTCTCACTTTATATCAATGATTTGTGTGATTCACTTAATTGCAATAGGCTATTGTTTGCGGATGATTTAAATATATATATATATATATATATATATATATATATATATATATAACTTATTCATATTACATACTATATTCATATAAATCTTCACACCTCAACTATTCATCCGTAATAGCTATTGTTATTATAATATACCAGCCTACGCTACGTCAAAATTTAAAAAAAATATCACCTAGCGCCTAGTATACTAAATGAATACCCAATTTTTTTTTGAACTAACATCAATTCACAACTCCGGAAGAGAATTCAAAAAAATTCAGTTACTATTTACCGAATCTACAAGTGGTTGAATACATCTCATTCTTACTATTATTACCATTCAAAATTCTGTACAACTTCGGCCCCCAGGGTGATTCTCTTAAAAATTTTAAATGACAAGGGGTATCAAGTAATAGCTTGTTTGAAAGATCATTCGAAGTTCTTTATTTTGACGTTTGATTTTTTAAAATCAGTCGATTCGTCTTCGAGAAAATTAGAAAAATATTTATTTATCTTAATTTGTTGAAATAGAAAACAAAAACACAAGAAAATATCACTTTTTATTTCAATAAGCGTTCAAACAATTCGTTTATAATTTAAAACGGAAACTACCAACATAAACAACAATTCGGAAGATTAGACGTGGCAACAACCAAAAAACAACCCGAATTTTTTTCCGCAACTGTATTGACGAGGGATGTCTTTTAAGTTTTGCATATAGAAACATAGTAGGCAGCGCGGATCGAACGTCAGTACTGAATCTTAACCTCACTCTTAGTAAGCTTAAATTCAAAATTTCACAACAATACGTGCAGTGTTGTCACTACAGTGAATCTTTGAGTGTCACCAAGTCATTAGAAAAATGAAACTCAACCGAGAACATTTTCGCTCCATAATTTATTACAACTTTCAGAGACAATCATCGCAACAAGAATGCGTGCGTTTTCTAAATCCCAATTATTACTTGATTTTTTTTTATAATTATATTCCAGGTGCGTTCCTGATACCATACACTGTGATGCTTCTGTTTGGCGGCCTTCCCTTGTTCTACATGGAGCTGGCTTTAGGACAGTTTCACAGAAGTGGTTGCCTTACCATCTGGAAAAGGATTTGTCCTGCTCTTAAAGGTAAGTCTCGACTACTATTGATAATTGTTTGATATGTGTGTATAAGATTTCGTAAAAATATGGACCTTTGCTGCTGTTTATAAATATTTTAAGGGCAACGCAAATCCCATTTGGAGCTCGCAGACCCAGCTGTGAAGATCGCTCGAGTTATTCCACTTAACTATACTAAGTGACATATAAATCCGAACACCCAGTTTAACTGGTTTTATTTTAATAAAAGTTGGTGAATGTATTTATCTTACTGTAAATAACAACTGAAAAAATTTTCAGCCTTATCAGTTGGACATTCCGGTTTTTATACTGCTTTTTTTTAATTCACTAACGCTCTAAAAATGAATATTTCAGCCGCAGTAAAGAATCAACGTTGGCGGATTTTGGTTCTTGACATCCTTTACGATCGGTTACGAGGCCTAGAGTACGGAGACCTGTACGATTTCGTCAACTTAGTGAGTTTGATAGGGGCCGTATAGTGGGACTTCGGGAAGCCGGACTTTCTTTTCGGGCAATTGCAGTTAGAGTGCAAAGAAGTGTAGACACCGTGGTTAGGTGTTGTCAGGCATGGCTTCGAGAAAGCCGTACGCAAAGAGCAAGGGGCACTGGACGCCGCCGTAGAACAACAGACCGTGAAGATCGCCGCCTAAGATTATTGGCCTTAAGGGACCGTTTCTCCACTACCAGGTCCATTGCAAATGAATGGTTTGCAGAACACGGAAGACCTATTGGCATGCGAAGTGTTTACCGACGAATGAGAAGTTTTGGCTTGTTTTCATACCGGCCACACTGGGTCCTCCCTTTAACTCGAGAACACCGACGTAATCGCCTTAAGTGGTGCAGACAACGGTCACTCTGGGATCAGGAATGGAACAGTATTGTCTTTAGTGACGAGTCTCGGTTTTGTTTAGGCAAGCACGATGGTCGTGCCAAGGTTAGAAGGCGACGTGGTGAAAGGAGGAATCCACAGTTTTTTTTTGAAAGACATGTTCATCACACTGTTGGAGTTATGGTTTGGGGTGCTATAGCTTATGGTTCGAGGTCACCTTTAATCTTCATCAGAGGTAACATGAACGTGCAGCGTTATATCCACGAAGTTCTAGAACCCCATCTTTTACCCTATCTTGACACCCTGGCAGATCCAACTTTCCAACAAGATAATGCCCGACCACATGTTGCAAGAGTCACAATAGACTTCTTTCAACATAATGATGTCACATTGTTACCATGGCCACCAAGATCTCCCGACTTATCCCCAATTGAGCACGTGTGGGATATGATGGGTAGGAGATTGCTCAATTTGCAACGTCCTCCTCAGACTCTAGAAGCACTTCGAGAGGAGTTGGTGGTTGCCTGGAATGAGATACCACAGGAGGACATTGACCACCTGATCAGAAGCATGCCTAGGCGCGTTGGAGAATGCGTAGCACATCAGGGTGCATCCACACATTATTAAAGGTCAAAGGGCTTTAAAGCAGTGCAATCATTTTGAAATTTTTATCATTTACTTATTATGCTTCATTAAGTACTTATACAAAATTTTATTAAAATAAAACCATTTAAACTGGGTGTTCGGGTTTATATGTCACTTAGTATATATCCTCCGACCGAAGAATTCGAGGCGATCTCATAGTTTCCTTTAGAATACTTGATAAGCACCAACCTGAAAGACCTATACCAGTTGTTGCGCAGTAATCTCAGCTTTAAACTACAAAACGACGGTGGTTTCTCCCCAATCGCGTATTCAATACTTGGAACAGTTTACCAACAGCTTCAAAGTCTATTACGATAGGTGTGCAGTAAACAAACTTTATACGAGGGATGTCTTTTATGTTTTGCATATGGAAATAAAACAACACGGTAGGTAGTTTTGGCTGGCAGATCCAAAACGGTATTTTTGAAAGCGTCAACTGCTTCTTCTGGTGACTAGAACCTTTGACCACGCAGTCTGTTTTTAATTTTCGGAAAAGTAAATAAATCGTTAAGACTAAGATCGGGACTATATGGAGGATGGTCCAATAATTCCACGTTTTCTTCAGTTAAATACTGCCTTGTTTTTTGGGCTGTGTGCGAGCTTGCTTTGTCTTGGTGGAGGACGAGTTTTCTTTCGGGGTTGATTTTTCGAAGCTCGGTGATGACTTTTGGCAAACAAATGGTGGTATACCAATCCACAGTAACAGTTCTTTGCTCATTAAGAGGAATTGTTGCAATATGACCCGCTTTTGACACAAATGTCGCGACCATCTTTTTCGAAACACTTCCAGAACGGATGACTTTTGTTGGCTTTTCTTCACCTTGGAATACCCAAACAGCCGACTGTCGTTTATTTTCTGGTTCATAACAGTAAATCCACGATTCATCACCACTAACAATACTGTACACATTTTTTGAGTTTCCGGAATTGAAACGCTCAAGCGTTTTTTGACACCAAATAACCCTGGCTGCTTTCTGCTCTTCAGTCAACAGGTCAACATCCAACGAGAAACTAATTTTCCTACTCCTAATTCTTCATGTAAAATTTTTTGAATTGAGGTCTTTGACATCTTCAAGGACGCCTCAATCTCGCGATATGTCACATGTCTATCTTCAACGATGAGTTTGCGCACAGCATCGACGTTTTCCTGGGTGACTGCCGCCTTTGGTGCACCCACCCTGGAATCGTCGCTAAGACTCACCCGTCCACGTTTGAATTCTCCATACCAACGAGAAATTGTCGACTGATGTGGCGCTTCGTTGCCGAAATCAGACAGTAACTCAGCAAGTCATTCTTGTTGCGATAATTGAAGGGTATGCCGGAACAACGTTCTAACCGCCAAAAGTTTAGTTTTGAGAAAAACGAAAAAAACGCTTTTCTATGTTTTACTCCGAAATTAAAAAAAGAAAACAGACAGGCTATTTACTAATCGATATTTTAATATATTTGAGAAACACAACATCTTTTTATAAACCATGTTAAACAAATTAAGAGCCTTAGAAAATAAATTCCCTAAAACAACGTTATATATACACGTCACTTACAACGTTTTTACACGGAAACGAGTCGTTTACGACCTTGTTTTACGCTTAATGGGTCAAATTTTTTTTTATTGTAATACAGTGAACCAACATAGTTGGTGCTACAAGAAACATAATACAAATGGATAACATTTTGATGGTTTTAAACAACTTTCAGGTTTTCGTAAAAACTAACATATTTTAAGGGGATATAGTCACACATATCCATCAGGTTTGCCTTTTTTTCCTTTTTGATCGAAAGTGCTTCATTATATGCCTCTTTAAGGTCTCTTATCGCTACTTCTTGTACTAATTTCTTGCGTGACTTCAACAAGTAAGTAAACCATGGTTGAAGTGTGTTGTGAGACTTTCGTACTCGTAAAGTATTCACATCATCTGCGGTCATTTGCAACCACATTACTTGGGTGATTTTACATGATGGATCTTTATATATAACATTTTCCGCTGCCTGAAAATCCTTAAAAAAAGATTGATGCATGAAGATCACTTTAAATGGATTGGATACCTTCGACTTAGCGACAACATCAGCCCACTGTGAGGGAACAAATACTTTAGAGATTTTTTTTTTGTCGTTCTATGAGAGAAAAGTCTCTATCACACGGCAAAAAGCTATGCCCGCTCGTAAGAAATTTTTGTTCGACTTGCGTAAAGAACTTTTCTAAAACTAGAAGTCGCGGCATTGTCAGCATTTTCCAGTTATTGTTCTGGCCCACACACCTGTCTGACCATATAACTAGTTTTCTTTCTTCACCTGCTTTGAGACGACTATACTTGTTAGTAATATAGAATAGTAGTGCTGAAGCAATCTCTGTAGATCCCCGATGTGCCATTGCTTCATGCCATAGTAACATTGTTGCGTTTTCCTCCCCCATATTATGAACAGCATAGTTATATGTTGAGAATTGCCTTTGATAGAATACAGATGAATGTGTTAAATTGGGACAAAAAAGCACTTGTTGCAGATCTGTGCACAACACAACATAATTTGGATTGAGTTTAGAGGTCTCGGTATCATCTTTCAATGTTTTATAACCCGCTTCAGCTTTTCTATGGTGGAACTCACTCTCGATTTCTATTTTTTTTTTTTCATTAGCGTCATCAGTTGAACAAAGTTCCATAAACAGCTTGTCACAATACGAACATGTGTCAGATCTTGGTAGACCAAATCGCAGATTGAACTTGCTCTTGAAAATGTCGTGATAAACCCTAAAGGAAATATTATTTGCATCGGGGTATTTCTCCTTAAAAAGTCTGAACATTTTTGAGATATTTAGATCAGCTGGAAGGCATTGTTTGGCTGAAGTATTTCTGCTGTAATGATTTTCCTGTAGGGGAAACGATCGGATGTGATCGGAAATGAGACCTACGTCCATGTTTTTCAACTTTTTAGGACTATTGAGATGCTTTCCACGTTGATCTTGAAGGTTATTCATGTTCGCTTTAAGTTTACCAATAAGCCACTGTAATCTTCTAGGCGTAATTGAGAATATATAACAAACTGTTCCTCTACATACTTGAGTGCCATTAATACTGTACTTTACAGTGCAATGTCTACGAGATATATTTTCCTCAACTCTCCTACGTTTTGGTTCTTGGAGGGATATGATTTGCGACAGATATTGCGACTGACCATCATAATGAAGCTTCCTAAATTTCTGGAACAGACTCACATGTCTTCCAACGAGCAAATCGGCGTTACATCCTCTGGGGGTTTGAGGACATTTGCAGACACGTTCCTAAAAAAAAATGCACACATTGCACGATATCCCATACTGTCAGGATGGTCACAGGCCCAAGCCATAAGTGAAATTTCGGGACCACGCTGCATATTGTGTATTAAACACCTTACATAAAAAACGGTCAACATTTTTTGTACACTATGAAAAATTGGATAATAATGTGCATCGCCTGTGGACACTTTTAAGTGTTAATAAATCTTACCTCTTCTGGCTGGCTTAACGCAGCCTTAGGTACGTTTCTCGATGAAATGTATG